CTAGAGTTTTCCGTTGCAGCATAACAAGGGAATGGTGAAAACACTATAGGATCCATTGATTTTGTTAATTCGGTCCCAGACCTCTTTCGAGGGATGTGTGGCTATTTATTTATGTCGCATACACTTGGAAACTTGTTCTTTTCGATTGCCGGCGAATGTACCGTGTACGGGCCTTCATTTGCTTAAAGAGAAGACGATTGCTTGATGTCGGATACCGTCAAAATATGCTCCATGCCTTGTTTTGTTTTTTTTCGTGATTCTGAGCATTCTTCATTCCACCAAGGCTTCGAAGGGCGTGGTAGGCGTCCCGAGGTCACGGGGATTGCTATTATGGCTGCATGAAGGATACAATTCGTTAAGTATTCGTTCACTTCATCAACTGAAAGCTTGTCAAGAGATGTGTATGCGAGCAGTGAGAATTCGCTGAATTCTGATAAGTTTGCCTTCTCAAACTTTCAGCGGGGAGTTCGGCTGGGGAGGGTCACACCTGGGTTATTTCGTCTTAAAACAATCGGCATGTGGTCACTGTCTAAAGGATTATCTGTAACGTGCCATGAAAACAGTGAAAATAAAATAGGTTCACTTATAGAGAAGTCAATTGTTGTAAATGAGTTTGTGGTGCATTAAATATCTGTGTTTTGTTTCGTTAAACAGACACAAATTTGTAGACAGAATAAACCGTTCGACAACTGGTCCACGCGTATCGCGTCTAGTACTGCCCCATAAAGGATTGTGTGCATTAAAATCGCCAAGAAGAATGAATGAATGGGGGAGTTGATCAATAAGTAACTCAAGGTCTTCACACCTTAAATGAAAGTTTGGTGGAAAGTAAAGTAAACAAAGGGTTATCAAACGGTCTGACAGTACGCGAACAGCCACTGCTTCCAAGGCGGTCTGCACGGGAACCTCAACACATGCAGCTGATTTTTGAACTACTATGGCCACGCCGCCAGAAGAGAAAGACGAGTGATCTCCATCCTTGCGGAAAAAATGAAAGTGCCTAAAGACACTTGACTGAATCCCCTTCAGGTGAGTTTCCTGGAGACACACTGCCAGTGGACGATATTCCTCCAAAAGGGAGCAAACATCGTCATAATTATGCAGGAGACCTAGGCAGTTCCACTGAATAAGACTCATTGTCGGTAAGAAGTTTGAAACTCAGGAGGTCGAGTTCGTAACCCTAGCGCATAAGCAGCTAAAGCTGTAATGCACCACTCACAAACTAGAGTTCTAAAAAAACATCTAAAAACGAATTTAATAAAAAACGAAAAAGGACATGAATGGGTGTGGATGTCAAGAGGAGGGCAGTTCCATCAAACCTTCGGGGAAAAATAAATAAAGGTAGTGCCCCAGGCGAGGGAGTCGCCAATAGTCCTCCGAGTGATCCTTGCGGAACTGCCCCCTCTGACCTTCAAGGGGGTGGAGACATTGGGCCGACGCCACTGGCGAGGGAGTCGCCGTTATTCCACTATCGCAACCGATCCCTAAGAGTGAGTGAGGTAATGCAGGTGAGCGACAAAGAACAGGGTTGCTGTAAGGTGTATGAAGTGTTAATGAACATTTTTGGGAGAGTTGAAACAGCATCCACGACTAAGCACTTGCTATGTGCCAGCTTCTGGACCTCACGCTTTAGTCTTTTTCTTTGGGTCCTCAACTTTTGACGAGATTTCACCACCCTTCGGGGCAGGTGGAGGCTCCGCCGGACTGCTGGAGGTATCCATTGCCTCAAACTCGTGATGCGAGGAACATGAAGGGCGCCCCTCAAGGCACTGTGACTCTGTCGTCACAGTTTTCTCATGAGGACGTGCGGGCAGACGGCGCGGGGCCGTCACCTTTGAGGATGTGGCCTGAGTTGAATCCCTCTGTTCTTGAGAGACTCCAGGTGAGATTTCGGAGGCTTGGGATTTGCCCGGGGCAGAAAGGTCTAAAAGGCAGACCTGTGTCCCCACGGAAGCCGTTGTCGGTGCAGTCCCCTTGCTGACTGCAGCGGAGGAGATGCCTCTCTGAAGGAATGAGAGGCGTTTTCGGGCTTCAAAGTAGGTCACATTTTCTTTGGTTTTCAGTGTTAGCATTTTTTTTTCTTCTTTAAACTTTGGGAATGAGGGGGAGTATGCAGGGTGAGTACCTGAACAGCGCACGCATTTAGAGAAATAATTTGTACAGTTGTCAGTAAGGTGATCATTGCTTGAACATTCTCCGCAGGTTGCCCGTCCCTTGCAAGTAGCTGCCCCATGCCCGAAACGCTGGTAGCTAAAGCAGCGTCTCAGATTGGGGATAAACGGTCGAACCTTGCAGTTGAAATAGCCCGCCTTGACCGCCTGGGGGAGGGTCGTGGAGTTAAATGTAAGCACAAGGTGCTTTGAAGGCTTCTCTTGGTCATCTCGACAAATGGTAATACGCCTCACTGCAATAACACCCTGATTGCTGAGTCCTTCAAGGATCTCATCCTCAGTACTTTCCAACAGATCATCTTCGGAGATCACGCCCCGAATGGTGTTGAGAGATCGGTGTGGCGTTACTGTGACTTTGTGATCAGCTATACTAGTAAGTCCAAGTAGCGCTTTAGTTTGTTGCTCTGTTTCAAACTCGACAAGAAGGTCTCCAGAGTGGAGCTTCTTTGCTTTGTAAGATTTTCCAACAGATGGTTCCAGGGTTTTTGCCACAAGGAACGGGGAGAGCTTTCCAAGTGGTAGTTCGTATTCGCAGTGCATTACTAGAAGCTTTTGGAAGCCTTTAGTATTATCGGTAGTCCTTAGAGGAGCGGTGGCACGGTGGCTTCGGTGCGAACGTTTTTCAGAGATTGATCAGAAGAAAGTTTAGCTTTGGAACCCATATAAAAACGGGGACCTTCGACATCTGCGGTGTGCCGCCCACCATCAGCCCAACATGGGACAGGCTAACGGCACATAACAAAAATGGCTTTGCTGTGCAAACTACTCCAGTAGCACCTACCCAGATGTTATACCGAAGAATCGGTCTAGACTAGCGTCCTTCTCCACTCAAGGTTGGCCCTCGCCGCCACGAGGTTAAAAGGGAATGGAGAGAAAAGAGAGAGGAGAAGTATAAGTAAAGGTGGGAGTGAAAGATCGGAGGGGATAGTAGAAGAAAAGGCGACTAGACTGAATCATCCTGGCCGGGCCTTACCAGGACTCCCGTCTACGAGAAGCTGGGGCCGAAGTGGTGTATTGCCACACCCGGGGGGCCTCGAAGGGCCCAAACCTACCCCGGGCTCGACTCAACCACCAGGATGCCTTTTCCTCGGACACGGAAAAGCCACGCACAGCCAGACGTGGGCGGACAAACCCGCATGGCTCGGGGTCCGTGGAGACGCCACTCTCCAAACACCTGCTTTCACAGGTGCCCCCTGCGAGGAGATAAGGAGGGGGGGGGGGGTGTCTCGGTAGTTGGGTGAGGCATGTTACGTAAGGGAGGAGAGTGTCTGGAATGTCTTCAATGACATATGAATTTCCTCTGCGAACGTAGATTGAGGAGAGCAGCGTACCAGCGTCAGCATGTAGACCGCGGCATCCCGGTATGTTTTTGACATGTGCTTCTTGGAGAAGACAAAGTTTGGGAGCCTGTGTTGTGTTGGCAGCCACTAATGTAACGGGGGAAAATTTGCGGAGAGGCTACAACAGTTCCACTGTGTCAATGTGATGGTCATGGTTCTAGTTAGGCGCGAGGGTTGGGATAGATGAGGAGGGTAGCCGCTCGAAGTTTTGGAGATTTGCCGTCTAAGGCAGCCGGGCTTCGTGGCCGCGCCTGATGGATTGAGTTTGTTCATCCATGGGGGTAGGGGTTTCGGTGAAATTCTTGGTGAATATATGTGCAAGGGTGTTGGGTGATCCTGTGTGTGGGTGATTAGTTCCTCGAGATTGGCAATGCGTTTTTTCTGGGAGTCGAGGCGCCTTTGTACTGCTTGTTGGGCTTCAACTACTGTGGTGAGTGTGTCGACGCGCTTGACCAGCTCCGCGACAGCAATGTCAAGTTGATTAAGATGTTGGGAGAGGGCGGAAAAGAATGGGGCGGGCACGGCGGGCCGGGCTGAATCACATGTGTCATGTCGATAGCTGGCTGCAGAGAAGCTGGGGTATTGGAGGATGATGATGTTGTGGTCAATGGTGTGGCGGCAGCATGCAGTCCCGCATGAAGTTGGCGAGCCAGGGTTCGCTGATCGCCCCAAGTGGCAGTGGTGGACAGCGCAAAGGAGGTTCGGATCGGGCGGGGTGTCGGCCCGGTGGGGGGTACCAGACTGGTTATGAACGGGGGTCATACCGCAGAGCGGGCCGCCTGTTGTCGGTGTCAGAGGCACTGGCGAAGAGCTGCTCGAACAGAGACGTCATCGCGTTGTCGCTGGATGAGGTGAAGTGACACATCGGCAGATATTTGGGCAGGGATCTGTGCGGCGTGCAAGAACACTGGCCAAATGTCAAGGGGCTGCGCAGCTGAGCCAGCGGAAAGGATTTGGAGATGCATTATAACTACGAAAAGTCCGGGGTTGGGGTGGCCCGAAAGACTAGATTTCCGTAGCTTTCCAGGGGGGGGGGGGGGGGGGGCGGGGGGGTCCATTTTCCTCCTCGGTCGGGTACCTCTGGGGGGAGGGGGGAGGGGGGGGGGTTACGCGTCCTGGCTTGGGATGGACACAGATGCATTGGCGTGTTGCGAAGCAGCGGTGTCGGCCGTAGCCATATAGGTTCCGTACTGCAATGGGGGCACCGAGAATAGTGGAACCGTTTCCGCATCAAATTTTAAACGACTTGGAATTAGCGAAAAAAAGGACGAGCGGGCAAAATATTGTACTGGGAGAGAGTTGTGCACTTGTCGAAAATAATGCAGTGAGGGACTCGGGTGTATGGTGAAGATTTTTGGAGGATTCGGTAGGATTTTGGAAAGTGTGACGCAGGCACTGCGTTTGAATGAGCTCATGCGGCGTTCTCCCTTAGACGGAAGAACACGCTCGAACATGTCCAAAGGGTAAAAATAGTTCATGATGGCATTACCTTCTTGTTGGCACACGTCGGTGTCGCACACTTTTTCACCGGGCTGCCTTTGAAGATATGAATTCAGCACTAGAATAACGAAAGGTAGTTTTGCTTAGTTGGAACACTTTCAGCAGGCGTGAGTTAACACGCATAAAACACTTAACAAAAAACGTAGAGCCTATTAGGGTAAACCAGCGTGAATTAAATCGAGCATGAAAGAAGGGACAAAAGAGTATACGCTATGATGGGAAAGAAGGCGAAGTGTGGCGATCGACCGCTTCTCCCAGTAGCCGAGTGCGGTCCCACGCATCATGCCTTAAGTATCATTATTACCATGATGCTAACTGTAAGCTGGCAATAGTGCCAGAAAGGCAGAATTAATTATTTTCAAATGAAGCTAAGAAAACACACACACTGAAACGAAGCAGATAATAAACAGAATATATAAAGGGTCGTGCTCCCCTTTACGTGTGAAAACCTTCTCTGCGGATTGGGATGAATTGCTCAATCTTCCCATTTTTATTACCATCGTTTTTCTTCTAGTACCGTAGTGCAAGGTCGCACTACTTCCAGCATATCAATCATGCTGCGCTTTATATCCATGAATCGCGAGACAGCTCTTGCTCGTTCGATTGTCACACCTCCCCTTACTAGCCCACCATAAGCAACCGCCTGGTGCTGTTGATTTTTTTCATCTCTGTGTCTATTCACGTTCAGCTTACCATGACCACTAAATAACTTACCCAACTTCGTTTTTCATCGTAACGATTTTATTGAGATTTGCAGAATGTGTGCGGAAAACCTAATGTGCTAAATATTGTTTATTCACACAGTATTAAAGAAAGAACAAGGCGTTTTAGAAGTACCCAAAACACTATTTTTAATCTCCCTATCAATGGAGGATTAATTAAACATAGGTTATGTGCAAAAGCCAATAATTCGTGCATTACTGACTTTGGTGCACCGATGACGACGCATGAAGCACTATTAAAAGTAGATTTTTTTTTTCTTAGTAAATACGATAAGAAAAAAATGATTTTTGCAGTCGAAACCAATAGTCTTGCGGCACTTTGAAACTGCGCCATTAAAACCTACTAGACACTTTTCAAAAGTTTCTGAAGTGGCCATGATATATTTATGTAATTTCTACGACGCAAACACCATTTATGTTGTGGGCACCAATCCGTTCATTTCCTCTTTGCGATTGTAAGGACCTCATCATCCGTTCTTCCATTCTCGTCCGGGAACCCTCGGCGCCCAGGTTGCCCTTACTATGGTGCCTCGGACGATTCTCTGACTTGTGTTTATATCACGTTCAAAAAAAGCGTGGTTCCCGATTTCCGCCTAATGACGTCATAGCAGTGTCATGTTGTTGTCGGCCGCTATCCTCGCGGCGTCACAGCAGCGGTGGTGGATGTGGCAGACGCCTGTTCTGCTGCAGGTCGCTCTACAGCTTTACAGTCCACGGAAGCTGCGGTAGCCAGGAGTTGGGACGCCGCAACTGCGGCGACACTCGCGTTCGCTCCTGATTTTCGCCGGTATTTCTACAACCAACCGCCAGGATCGCGACATCATGACGAATCGCCTTTTCTGACACAATTTGTTGCCACTTGGGGACCACTTCGATGCATGGGGAGAATAGGACCTAAACACAACAGTCGGAGAAGCGTTCCAGGCCCCGTTTGATTGCTGCTCCGTTGCCTCCACAATAAGGTTGTAACCGCGAGACATCCAGTGCCCACATCGTGACAAAGGATTTATTTAAAGGTGCTATATTTTATTTTAATACATAAAGTATCACCCCTATGCACGCGCGCGAGCATTTTATACCACACATTTTTCGCGCAAGTCACCGCGCATAAAGTGTTTTGGAGAGCTCCGTTTTTGCGCGCCCTTCTTGAAGAGAACTTTCCACAGCTTGGGAGCTGGAGCAGTGTCTTCCAATACTGGAGACCCACATTGCTACAGCTCCGACGTTTCGACTATACTTGGGGACAGAGTCAGCTCGCGAGGAAGGTCAAGGCATTCATTACACAGTCGCTTCTGCACTCAAAGATTGTAAAACAATACCCCGTGCGCATAAGTAATTGTTTAACGGCTATCTATTTATTGTCTAACTTTCAACCAGGAAGAAGTGATGATACGCTCGACGCTTCCAAATTTGTCATTGCATACTACAAGTAAGCGGCACAAGTATAATACGTCAGCTTCTGTGCTGGTTTGCGAGAACCCGACAATGCCAGTGGGCCCATGCCGTATAGCGAAATAAAGCTTTGTTTAATGGGTCGCGAGGGCCGTAGTCGAACTCCTATATAATCTCGGACGCTGTTAAGTTGACAGTGAAATAATTTTCCAACCTATTTATCCTTAGCTTTAATCCTCAACTCAAGAGCGAAATGAGAAATCTCCTGGTTGTGATGTGCGTGGGCACCGGATGCGATGAGTCCAAGTTTCCACCATGCTTTTTAAGCATACGACGGAATTTATCATTCCCAAGAGATGAAAGGTGGCGTCGCGGAAATCATTAGACACGAACGGGAATTATCAGGTTCTTCAGCGGATTGATTGTTGCCGAGCGCAATGCTCGCGTTCATTGTTAGAGCTAGGCTCGGGCAGTGTTGGAGGTAACGCGTTACTAGTAACGACGTTACTGGTGACACGTTACAGTTTTCGCTAACGCAGTAACGTACTCGTTAGTAATCTGAATGACTAACGAGTAAAGTATTTTCGCTACTTTTTACGGTATCGGCTATCAAATTTCGTTACTCGTTACTTTTGACCAAAACTGGTGAAATCCTGCACGAGCTTGTCTCAAAATCCTGCACCAGCTTATCGCTGCACGGAACCGGCATTCGTCACAGTAAAGTTAAAAGGCGAAAAAGGCGAAGGCGAAAAAAACCTTCGGCTACCAGCTAATTCGTTTCATCCTCCTTTTTCTTTTTCTTTTTTTTTTTTTCATAGTGTCACCACCCACAAGGCTTGAACGAACGACTGCGTTACAGTGTCCTCACCTCCCTCCTCGTCCCCCTTCCCTGCTTTGTGCAGCAGAGTGGACAGCGGGGGAGAAGCCGTGGAGAGACATCCGTTTACAACAGTGAACAACTAGTGGGGAAGCGATTTGCTCATTTCTCTAGTTTAAAAAAAAAAAAAAAAAAAACACCCTTTGTGGAATATTTTTACCCTCGCTCTCCCGCTCGCTGCCTGAAAGTTCCTGACCCACTTTTGTACACAGAAGAATCTTTCGCTTGATTAGTGTCTAATTCCCTAAGGTCATAATAAAAAATAAAAAAAAAGTTTTAAACCTGGAAAGAAAACTTACAAACACGAAACCTTTTTTTCTTTTCACAGAAAAATAAGAGCTACTGCTGGTAAGAGGCAGCAAGTGATTATAGCCAGTGTGCTGGTAACCGGTGTCCTGTTCCAGATAGTGAAGTAAATCAGTCTCTGGTAATAGTATGAACCGGACTGTTACTAAAACCGGCGTACAGATGAGGGGTGTTGGTTGGCTGGTTGTGTTCCTGCAGTCCTCGTTCGCATCCTGTAGTTTATAAAAGCCGATTGACTAACATCTCCGACTCATTCTGCGCGTGAGATGGGCATGAATAACAAAAGTCCGTCGCCATGGCCAGCAAGTCTGAATGAAATGTATCAACTAAAGGAGAAAGAATCAGGTAATTTACAGGTTCAATGCTTAATTCTGCATGCCGAAAATTAAGCTGCTTCGCCCATCAAAACACTATGAAACAACTCTGTAAATTTTAATCTTTACCCAAGCTTGTTAAGGTGGCTTATCTTACATCTCTGCCAAACATATTTCCTCGAACAGAAAAGTAACGTAAGAGTAATGTTCGTTATTTTTGAAAAGTAACGGTAACGGTATATCGCTACGTTTGCAAAAGAGTGACGTAGCTCGATAACGCGTTACTTTTTACCAAACTAACGAGTAACACTATTTCGTTACTTTTTTTCGGTAACGGGCACAACTCTGGGCTCGGGTGACGTACTTAGGCATCACATATGCATCACAGTAAAAAGGTGGAAAGCTTTAGAAGGAAAGGAGGAAAGAAAAATAGTAGTCGGCTATATTTTCAAAATTTCGCACCCCAACGCAGGTTTATGGCTTTCTTATTTCGTGTACCAGTTGTTTTTTGGGGCGCAATAAACAATATTCGATTAGTAAAATGCCAATTCATCCCAGCCCAAAATTTATTTCATGGACCATTTAACGCTAAAAGTAATGTGACTTCGCACGAAAATGCTGGCGGCGACTGCTTGATCCTCGTGGTTCTATGTGAATGCGAGTTTTTCCGACGTCGCGTTTTTAGCGCACACCGCCAAAGGAGGAACTTACACTGTTTTTTTTTTTCATTTAAATTTTTTTTTTTTAGTTTTTGGGTGCCTTTAACAATGCCGCACTGGGTCGACATGTCACGGGGTACGCACTCAACCGCCCGGTTCTATTGTCGGTTCCAGGTTAACAAAAACAGGACAAGCTCCTTTCTCAAGGCCCTCCATTCTTTTTTGTGTTTTTAACAGAGCGAACGCTAGAGAGGGGACGAATAGAAAGGGAGGAAACCACCAATCACAGCAAGCAGATAGCTTGGTTGGAGGTGCTTGTCTGATTTTCTTAACCTGCTGCAGACTGTGTATTGAGCTAAGCGACTCAGTATTGACAGATTTGGTGAAATATTTGCTGGCGGCGACATGGATGCTGTCATTAGAGAAGAGTTCATAGGTAAAGCTTATGGTTCCCATTTCCTCACCCCAGCCGCCTTTTGAAATTCAGGTATTAGTCAACATGTCTTACACGTTCTGGGTGAGCTTTCGGTGTGACTCGTGCCGATGATGATGATGCTGACGGCAAGCAGGTAAGACATTGGTCGAGGCAATAGGTTTTCGTGTAAATATCGACTCTTCTTCTGCAAAAAACAAAAAAAAGGGGGTAATGTGTAATCGATTTTTTCCGTCTGTTGGTTCCTTTTCTTGTCTGGGCGCACTCGCAACGTGTTAAGTAATTTTGTATATTATTTTATGGGATAAAAAATTGGTTGCATGTTTGGTCGTTCTGCCGAAAGTGTTTAAACGCGGTGGCCTTATAGTAGGGTGTTGCCTAGGGAAAGATGACCCTTAGTCTCTCAGTGCCTGGGGTGGGTGGTGCTTTTACTTCAGGTTGTTCCTAGGTAGGGTATTGTAAAAAAACAAATTACAATACCCAATTTTCGTTTTGTGACCCTGCGCGTGCTTTCCTTCAGCACAACCCGGATGCCTAACATTTGAGGTAAATGTTCTGGGCCACTAAGTGAGGGGAAGCGTGAATTTTCACCCTTCGTACTCCTCCTCGTTCCGCGGGTTCTTTCTACACCACCTGCTCTTTATCGTCTCTTTCTTGCCCTTTCCACCCACCTCTGCTCCGCGCGCTTTCTCACACCACCTGCGTCTGCTCCTTTTGTTTCTGTGTTCTGTGTCGGTAGCTCAGTAATAAATACAGATAAATAGGTCCATAGCTGACTCAGCAACACGCCCAGCTTCCACACCGGTTACCGGGGTTCGATCGCCTACACAGGTTGCCATTTTTGTTTCTTCAAGATTGTTTAGTGGTTAGGGATTGACCGACTTACACATATCGTACTTACCGGTTCCTGAGGCTGGTAGGCCCTATAAAGCTATCGCTGTAATATAATTTACGATATAAACAGCAAGTCCGAGAGTAGCGTACTTTCCCGCAATCATATATGTGACAAAACAGATCGCGAGAACTTATTGGCTTACGCCTGCCGACTTACCATAATGCACCATGCTTAAATAAAGTGGGAATTAGAAACATTATTCCGTTATAAACGCTGCCGTCTGCGTTGCGCAAAGCCCTAAACAGCTGTCGAGCGTTTCTTCAGAAAGATAGCTTGAATTAAAACAAATGTTTCTGCCATGTCAAAACTTCAATGATACGATTGGTATCTTTTCGGAGGCGAGTTCTGCGGTTGATTTCTAGAGTTGAAAGAAATCGGCTTGAAATGCCAAGATAGATTGTATAACTCGAGAACACACTTTGAACCAATGAGAAACAGGCTTGGACATTACAAAGGGGTGGATGCAGTTAAGGCAATATTTATTTTAGAATTTGTAAAAGTTGTTTTCGTGTTCTCATTTCCATGCAACAGTGTCCCATAGGTATGCGCATGGGTAAGCTCATATCATATCGTACAGGCAAAATGGTCTAACTTTTAATTTTATTGAAAGTAATGTATGTTGTAGGGAATTGTGAAACAAAAGAGAAAAAAAAAAACGTGTGCGCTGCGGGTTAGATTATTTGTTGATCTCGAGTTATTGAGCGAAGAAGCGGCCGTGGTGGAAATGGGCGTTTTCTCCCGAATGTGGAAAGTCGCATACTTGACTCACTTTCCTCACGTGGTATTGGCCTCTAGATTATTTGTTTGCTTTTTTGTCGTTAACTTCGCGGACATTATGAGGAGGCCGTAATGTATCAAAATATTTTGGGTGTTTTATATTTCTTATTGAAATCGTCAAAGTCACTTCTCAGGTTTATTTTTAATGAAACTTTGAAGACCAACTATATGCGAACTACTTAAGTTAAATTCAAAATATTGATGCCCGCGGAAAGCTCGAAAGAAGCCATGTACAAATATATTTGATTCGTTTAGTGATGCGCATGTTTTCTTGCGCTGTTACTTAAATGTCGTAAAGATTAAGAAAGTTGGAAGTTTGAGAATAATTTTCTCTCAAACCGCATTTTTATTATTATTGTCAAGTGCATGACTGAGAAGGAACGCTTTTCCGTACTTCTAGAACTTTCGAGTTTTCTCTTACGCCGAGCGTGAAAGACCAGGGGGCCAGCATGACCTTGCTGAGTTAGTCTCGGCCTAGCCCACTTTCGGGCATTCTAGGTCGTATACTCGAGATACTGCAGCGCGTAGTGGAGGAGCCGAGCGTGGTCTTGCCGACTCACTTTTTCTCGCAGTGTCGCTCCAGCCAGCTGTCACGCCGACAGAGCGAAGTTCGCGGCTGCTGTATTGACGCTCACTTTTGCTTTTGTTTCTGGCACAACATCGCGGATTAAACATTTAATTTATATTTACGCGCGTTGAGTCTTTTCCATGCGCTACAGTAAGCTTGTGTAACGTGAAAAACATTCCAAGCGAATATCGTTCCATGGCCCCTTTAAACGAAAACCCAGCTGGACTCATAAGGTTATTCCCGAGCTTTCACTTGTTCATTTTTAAGTCGGATTCATTTTAATCAAACTATATTTATCGGTTGTGACGTCAGAAAGTTCACTGCTTACATTGGTTTGGCATAAACACGAGATATTTGACATAAAATAAACCTATGAGATGCCCAGCTATACCTATAAGAGAGGATTTATAAATATTTTTGCTATATACCAAATACTTTTCTTCCAGACACAAAGAATTAACTCGGGTTTTCAAAAAACTGTGCCTGCAATATATTTATGCATAACAGCAACTTTAATAAAAACAAATCTATGATGAAAATTGCGGTACGGTAGTGTTGCAGTAACTACAAGAAATATAATCATCATTCAGAAAGTTTGTTTCCTTTTAAATACACCAGAGGCGCGCGCGTGCACCATTTGGCTTTTAAAGTGTGCTTTACTCGTCCTAAAATAAAGTATATATCTCTCTCTCTCCCAAGAAATCTGCACAATATTTGTACTTTCAAAGTTTTAATATCGAGATTTTAGCACCATATCGCTTCTTACCAAGCACCGGTGCGCTGAGGTGAATCAACACCCGCGGAAGCGAGCTCCGCGGGTGTAGCTTCTCCGCAGTGAACAATTGCTTCGTAAGAAACGCGCCTTACGGGGCTAAGGTGTGTCGTACAATCAACAAACACTTCGAAAATACGTATATCGTAGTTCATGTCGAAGCGATTATCAAATGGCGTATTATTCAAAATATCGAAATTTCGACTATTTGCACACCACTAATGCTACTAATACTAAATATTTTATACGGGTATACTTCAATACAAATGTTTGAGACCGTCAAAGCTTGTAAGGCTTGTGGTCTGGCAGTCGCAAGAGATATAATTTCATTGAAACACCGTACTTGCTCAGAGAAAAATATACATTAAGAATACGTATTTTATCAAGCTTACAGACACGAAAGACAATCTTCTTAAATATTACAAAATATTTTAAAAACCTCTGCTATCGAAATAAACCATCGCCACAACACGACATAAAATTACATCTGTTCGCTGGGAGGAACTGTAAAAAATAAAACGCAGACAAAGCGAGCTTCACTCAGTTGTGGATACAATAAAAAAGCTCTTCAGAAAGGTAGTACTTGCAACCAAACGAACTGTGTAACATGACAGAAATACATCAATCATGATCGAAAAACAGGAATCTCAAGCATGTGGATAATAGGCAGTAAAACGTATTCTCGTAATATGAGGTTTGTACAAGTCAGACCTTTTCACGCAGGAAGTTTCTGTGAGCATGTGAGAATAAAAAATACCAGAAAAATGACACTCCGTAAAAAAAAAAAAAAAAAAAAAAAAAACAGCATCGTGTAATATACGTTTTCGATTTTTTCTCTTGTTTTTCTGCGCGCGCTTGCAGCGTGTTTATTAATTTTGAAATATGAAATACTTGGCTAAAATATCATCTACCGTATAACAAACAAATTTCAGATAGCACACTCACCCGCCACCCGACACCTGGCTGTACAGCATATAAGACCTGAAAAGCCAAATAAGAACTCGAGTCCGCTCAAGCAAACCAACCTCGCAGATTATAAATAAAGTTCAAGTGAAATGTGCGTTCTAAAGGCTTGATTGTCGAGGCCGACTTCGAATACGTTTTCTCCACGCCACGAAAGATAAACAATTGAAGGTCAACGCAGCAAGAGTGAGATCATGGCAGTCGCTTACAGCTGCGTTGAAGCGGAGACGCGTTTCGGCTTACTGCCTGAAACGAATTTATTATTTTTACATTTCCTCGATGCCAAAAATACAGGTGTATGAAGATATAAGTGACGATCCGTTGTTAAAAAAAAAACAAAAACGAGTCACAGTGCCTGGCCTGCAGATGCTTGGAGTAGCATCTCACTGGACACGACACAGTGAAGCCCTGTCATTTTCGGAGTGCAGCGACAGCCTTTCCCGCAGTCCTAAAAGAGTGGTTTATTTCCGCCTTTCAACAAAAACAGCCTCACCTTTACATGATTTAATATTGATTTTGTGAGCATTACTAAAACGTGATTTAACAATCTCGCTACATATTGCGACTTGGTTCCACCAGCCTTTGATATTTTTTTCGGAAAGATCGTGGGTCACGGGTAGAGGACCCCGCGATTCTATAGTTAAGATGGGTATAAGCGCATTCCGATGTCTATCACTGAAAATGTAGAGGGCTTGTTTTATAGTATTTTATTAATAATTAGACATTATCACACGTGCTGAATATCAGTGTTGCAGAGTTGCTATTTTGGAGGTCGGATGATTCCGGAAACATTCCAAACTTCAGCAACCCCGAAATGGAATGGGTTCGCAATGGGATCGGGTCTTACGCCTTTTGCCCGGAATGAAGTCTGTGTGCCATGGGCTCGGTTCTTATGCGAGCAGTGTCGATCATCAGCCAAAACATACTGCATGCTGGCGCAACAATAGCATTCGGTCAAAACAGCTTTCGAAACAGCATCATTGCTGTGAAGCGCATCAGCTGACGAAGCATTTGATTACTTTCTCGATAGGTTTATTATGATATAAGACCGTTGCTTCTCCTACCAACAGCGAAATATTTCCCGCAAGTCACGTAAACCATGGGTTACGCCAGAAAAAAGAAAAATGAGAAATGAGAAAAATAATCTTTACCATCAATTCGTACGCAGCG